TCCTGTGACTCGATGGTTGTTTTTCTTTCCCTTCTTACCTTCCTCTCTTCATAAGATTTTTACCTCCCACTCCATAGGAGATGTGGTCACCAGACCAATTTTAAAAGCAGCCTGTCACTGCAGACTTCAAGCCTATTGTGGAATCTGTGTTAAAAGGTCTGTCTGGGACTTCCCTGGCTGTCCATTGGTTAAGACTCCGTGCTTCCAAAAAAAAAAAAGATCCCACGCTTCCAGTGCAGGGGATGCAGGCTCGATCCCTGGTGGGGGGACTAAGACCCCACGTGCTGCATGGCGTGGCCGAAAAAAAAGGGTTGGGGTGGCATCTGTTGGGGGAGATAGGAAAACTGGTAGGTCTCTCCTGCTTGAGTCTGAGTCCATTTGGTGGGAGAAAGGGGGAAACACTGACTTACGTTTTTGACACATGCTCCTGCACCAGCTTGGCCTTGTTAGGGCAGCAAGAACAGCAGTGATGGCTCTTTCCTTCCTACAGCAAAAACCAGTGCCAGCGCCTCCGCGGAGAACCAGAGCAGAGAAAGTATCAGAAGTATCCTTGGAAATATGTCACGCAGAACCTTGGGTTTACAGAGTTACAGAGCCATCCCAGGTTATGCTGTGTCCCGCGTGACAAATGGCACAGTGCTGGCCAGAGGGAATTATATACATACTGATATATTTATTCAATGATAGCATCCCTTCCCCATGTCAGTGTCACTCTTATTTATCTATCTATGTATTTATGTATTTATGTATTTATTTATTTATTTATCTTTGTCATTCTAGCATAAAATTTTTCTTTTGTTCAGGTCAATTCCAATTTTTTTCCATTTGCAACTCTCCTCAGAAGGTTGTTTTTCAGAGCTGCTTGGTGAACTGTTTCCCCATTGCTTCTGAGGCTCTTGTTTCAGCTCCACTAGTTGAGTCCTCCTCTGGGGAGGATTCCCCATCCTCTTGCCTCTGGATTAAGAGTTGATAGTTGTAGCAGATGGTGGGGCAAAGCAGTCAAGTAAAACAAGTTTAAGTGATCTGAGCCTGGCTGTGGGCAGGAATTTAAAAAGGGCTCAGCTGGGTGATTCTTCTGCTCCTTGTGGCCTTGGCTGATGTCATCACTTGGGGGCATTCAGCTGGCAGCAGGGCTGGGTTGGAAGGTGGGAAGAGGCTTCACACACATGTCTGGCCCCTCTGTGCTGCTCCATGTACCCCTCTCCACCTGGGAGGCTAATCTGAGTGTCTTCACAGCAGGGTGGCTGGATTCCCAGAGGGAGAACGTGGAAGCTGCTAGGCCTCTGAGGCCTTGGCTTGGGGGGGCCCAGACATCACTTACACAGTTCACTGGTCTAAACAAGTCACAGAACCAGTTCGCATTTAAGGAGACAAGAAATAGATTCCACTTCTTGAGAGACAAGGATCTGTGGCCATCTTTAACCCATAGTAATATGTGCTGATGACATCTGCTTCTCTGTTTTCTGTACTTCAACGACATCTCTTATGTTTTATCATTTAAAAAAATTTTGTCCAAACACAGAGAGACTTAGAAACCCTCCCAGCAATGAATTATAAAATGATGCCTTTATCTGCCTTTGAAGAGTTAATTTTTTTCTACACATAAATCCACAGATATATGTTATATATTTTAAGCCAAAGGGAAGTTTTTAGCTAGCTTCTAATATAGAGCCACCATTATACCTGTCCAGTTATTAAGTTTTCAAGGAGTTACGTACTACGGCATAAACTTGACCAGCATAATCTGTTCAACACAGAATATTTCAGAGCATAGACATGTTAGACTGTCATGTGTAAAATGTAAGTAAATGTCTAAAAAATTAAGTAAAAATAGGGGTTCTTTTGCAACATACATCAAACAGGAAAATAAAGGGCATAGGAACGTAATCAACCAAGTTTCCTTACACAGTGCATATTGCTTGAGTCAAGGAAAAAAAGCAGATTGGAATTAAAATTTGTATTGCATTTTGGGAAATGTTGTGCAAGGAGAGGGATGTTACTGGAACTGCTGAGTGAATGTTGTTTACTGCAGTTCAACTTTCCACCAAGCAAATCATGTGAGAAGGGACAAGGATAAATACACCTATTTATGTAGATAATTTTTCTGTTTCACGCCTCTGATTCACCTCTCTGCCTCGCTTTATGGGGAGTCATGCTACACTGGTTACAATTAATTTCAGTGCTGCATATTAGCCATAAAGAGATATTTCATAAATTGACTTGATGTATATATTTTTTTCCTCTGTGGTTTTCTTGAAAGATGAGAACGGTCCACAGGAAAAGCCGAGCGCCAAAGAAATGGAAGGGCAGAGCCAAGAAGCAGGTGAGCTCAGATTTCTTTTGAGGCGTCCCCTAGGCCTCATTCCCAGAGGTGAACATGGCTTTATTTAGTGCCCTTTTCTGAAAATATTTATACCGTTTCACCAGGTTAATATCAATATTCGTTCAGGTCTCCCTCAGGAAGCCAGCAACCCTGTTAACTACAAGTGTCAGGCTCACCAATCAGAAGGGTACCCTCCCTCTCAGGTCTCAATCACCAGCCCCACTTTTCTCCCGTGTGATCGCAGTTTGCTCAGTGATGCTCTACGCGGGACGGGCAGAGGTTGGAAGGACCATGTCAGAGCTGGGCTGACAGGGCCCGTCAAAATCAGCAGATTTAGTCTGGAGGAAAAAATGAAATGAGAAACATTCACAGGGGGACTTCCCTGGTGGTCTGGTGGTTGGGACTCTGTGCTCCCAACGCAGGGGGCGTGGGTTCCATCCCTGGTCGGGGAACTAAGATCCCACATGCCACAGGGAGCAAACAAACAAAAAAATTAATAAAAAAAAATTCACAGGAAATATATCAGAGGCTTTCCTTCCACAATGAGTGGAGTATCCTTTACGGTTTTGCATTAAATTTTGGAGAGCCGTGCTTCTGGTCATTTCTCTGTATGTTGCAGATGACGGTGTGAGGAGTGACAGAGGCTTACCACCCCACACCCAGAGCTCAATGAGATCCAAAGCCTTCCTGACATCAACTCTGTTCACTGAAGAACAGATGTGCCAATGGAATGCTTAGAGATCTTCTACTGTAGATTGTAAATTGAACTTTTTAAAATAAAATGGCACTTAAGACTCAGAAGAGATTGTCATCACCTTAGGTTTATCTTTTCTTCCTCCCCACTTTTGTACTCAGGCATGCTCTCCTTTAAAAGAATGATTCACAGGGCTTCCCTGGTGGCGCAGCGGTTGAGAGTCCGCCTGCCGATGCAGGGGACGCGGGTTCGTGCCCCGGTCCGGGAAGATCCCACGTGCCGCGGAGCGGCTGGGCCCGTGAGCCATGGCCGCTGAGCCTGCGCGTCCGGAGCCTGTGCTCCGCAGCGGGATAGACCACAACAGTGAGAGGCCCGCGTACCGCAAAAAAAAAAAAAAAAAAAAAAAAAAAAAAAAAAAAAGAATGATTCACACAATTTTGCAGTTATCAACATAACCACCAAAATTAAAATTTCCTTCTTCTTTCTATTTTCCAAGTCATTCTTCTGGTTCTAATGAGCCCAACGGATGGGGCGTCTTTGAAATAGTGGGCTCTGCTCATGTGCCTGCCACATCCTAAGCCATATGCTGGACTCTTAGAAATAAACCAGGTAGTGTGATAAGTTTTTCACTGAAAAGTTCCTGCATTAACCTTGGAACTTTTGCTAGAGAACTGAAAGCTTTTATTATTAACCTGGAAGATGGAATTGAGGAAGGCCAATCAGAGAAGGCACTGAAGCAAGGCAGCAAGGACCTTGTGTACCTGCCACTGGGTCAGTTGGCTCCCTTTGCTAAGGTGTAGTCCTTGCGATGGAATGAATTTCTAATATAGAAAACTGTTGTCATCCACACCACCATCGCCCCCAGCTCCCGGCCACCACATCGTTATGCTCCATGGAAGATGAGTCTTCTGTGAAAAGCTGTCACTGTTTTTACTGTTTGGGGCTGATGGGTATTAATCAACTAGCTGCTGACAGCTGAGGCCATTCTCTGAATATTGTGGTTTTACAGGTTTTATTCATTCACTGCTCTGTCCCAAACTGTCTTTATCGACATAGATTTCTCCCACCCCTGTTCACACACACACACACACACACACACACACACACACACACACACGCA